GATAGATAGATAGATAGATAGATAGATAGATAGATAGAAAAGCTTTATTGTCTGTCCCAAATGTGACAAAAATCATCTTTAACAGGGCTCCATGTTAAAAAATATATATGTTCAAAATAGGTTAAAAAAATAAAATAAATAAAAAAACAAGAAAAGCTATTCTTATTATTATTTTGTGCAGAATTTCGACAATTTGTTAGAAAAATGTCAAATTGAATTAAGAATACAGAATTCAGAGATCGCTGACACAGATATTTTTCAAGTCAGAGGACAGAGGAAATATAAAGTCTTGGCTTTCCCCTTTAAACTGCAGCTTTAAGAGGTTTTTCTTGCAAGCAGCACATAAGATTTCCATCTCCATTACCATCATGTGTGGTTCATGGCTGTCTGCTGTAATCATGATATAATCTTGAAATCCTTCCAAATCCCTGGAAATCTGCTCTTTGTAGGAGTCCTAATTATACAACACATACAGTATGCCCTCATTTTCCCCAATATATGCTCTGAGTCACCTAAATAATTAACCTGCTTGTACACATGCTGGMTTTAAGATCATCTAGCTCAAGAAATAGGCTTGACTTTTTTCCAGTATTTGTAACAGGCATGCAGTCATAAAAAAAACATGCCCTTTGCTGATTTGATGTGTTCACTGCTGGTAATGAACTGAAACAGGTTTAAAGCTTCCTGTCTCTGTGACAAGTCTGCAGKCTGTCACTACGCAGGCCTTCTCCTGTCGCCATGACACTGCATTACTGTTGCTATGGTTCCCTTTCCTCGTGATGCGGTTCGACCAGGCCTGCCATATTTGGTCTGCTTCTCAGCATCACAGCCAGGCACTTAGACAACTAATTTGAAAGCTTTTGAGTAAAAATCTCTAGATTTACCTCATGAACATCATCAGTTTTTTTTTTATAATTTGATCACAGCAGGTGAACAGTTTATGTTTTGATGGATGAACACACACACACACACACACACACACACACACACACACACACACACGTTTTTAAAAACTGAGCTTTTCTCCCCTCTGATTTAAAACGGAAAAAAAGCAATGAAAGCCACAAACCCCATCTCGTTCTTTGTAAGTAATCCTCTCATTGTTCCAGACACAACGGCTGCAAGATTAAACTCTGTGAAATCACAGAGAGATTAGTCTTTCTCTCTCTGACCCACGGCTTTATCACAAGTTTATCTTAACTTGTTTTTCTTTCCACTTGCACAAAGTTAACAGATAAGAAAAGCTCATTCAGAAAGCCTGCTCTCTGGGTGGGAACCTAGTCTTAAATTGTATCTAAAAGRAGAGGACAGCATGCTTTGTAAATAACTGGTAACATATAATGAGACATTAGATTATTTTTTTTTCATTTGGGGAAAAATGTCTTTCAATACTGGAGATAATGCAAAAAGGTTAAACATGGGAGTAAGATTCTACACCAGAAATCCTCTCAAATACTCATCAGTCTGCTTATATAAGTTGGTTGATTTTCATATGCAATCCAACTTTCTAAATCACATGAAGAATTTGAAAATAAAAGTCTTGTATTCTCATCTTATATTTAGGATTTCAGACAAAAACCACAGTAGTTTTCTGAGAGAAGCTTATTTTTGAAGGACATTTTGTAACTGATTAATGGATTATTAGATTCAGTATTGTATTTTATTCTTCTGATCATTTCAGTCTGTAAGGTTAAAGCTGACAGAGTTGGTGTGTGTCATCATATGTTCTTTCTTTAGCCTAAACAAAATGAGTTACGTTCAGACGTCMGACTAAAAGGTAACACCTCCAAGGGTGTAACCAGGAAGAGATGTACATTATAAGGTCAATTCATGATTATAATAGAAAGGAGGTTGTCAGTGTTGTGGAGAGTATCTGCTCAGAGCAGAGCTCTTGCCTGTTTGTTTTGGTTCAGTCGAAGGTCTGACTGAGGCCTGTGCTGCTGAGTGCTGAATGTATCTGATTGGAGTCAGAAGACTGAAAATAAAGTTTTAAAGAAGAAATCCAGTGGATTCCTGTTTTATTCAGACATACAGTACCATTTTGAACAATGCATATTTTTCCAAAAATATGGTGACCCCGATGTGATATGAACACCGTTGATTTGCATATGCAATCCAAAGTTTCTAAACCACATGAATAATTTGAAAATAAACATCTTGTATTCTCATGATTTCAGACAAAAAATCACAATAGTTTTCTGAGAGAAGCTTATTTTGATTAGGCATACACTCTAAAAATGAAATTTTGGATTTACTTAACCATGTTATGTTACCTGGTTCCACTTAACTGAGTTGAGTAAATTCAAAGCAACATACTCATGTTCTTTGGCTAAAAAACTGGTACATTGCTTTAAATTTACTCAACTCAGTTAAGTGGAACCAGGTAACATAACATGGTTAAGTAAATATAACATTTCGTTTTTTACAGTGTAGTTGCCATTTTGAATTGTATTAACTCCCAAAGTTAAACATCAGCAGTTGAAGTGCATTCAAAGTTTCTAAAAGTTATAATAAAATCTGGCTTGTAGTTCACGACATATTTTGCTAACAGGCGAAGTGGGTTGTTTCCAAAAGCTAAAGATATTTTTTTAGGAAAATATATCTCTAAAGTCAGTATGTGTTGTGAATGACTCTCAGCTATTTCAACACAATTCCTGATATGTTCATTGTTAAATCCGTTAGCTATCATTACTTAAAAAACGCTTGTCAACCAATTGCACTTAATAAAATTTGAGTACACTGAACTAGTAAATAAATAAATACTGAGTGCAATCGGTTTACAAGCTTTTTAAAGTAATGATAACTAACAGATTTTACAGAAGTTTCTAAAGTTGGTTGGCTGTGGCGGCCATTTTTAATCCAGTTTGCTCCACAAGTMAGTCAGTTGTACATCTGGTGATGTTTTTTTTSTTCTTTTTTTRAGATTTKATTAAAGTCCACAGAGTGGTTTAWGAGATATTTTGTTAAAAGTACTATTGTTGCCCCCCTTTCTGAGTTACTGTGGGTAAAGATAAGTCTATCATGTTTTAGTACTTACTTTAGAAACCTTGGAAGTAGAATGTCAAAAACATGCAGTGTTTTTACCACCAGCAACTTTGACCTTCTGTTGTCTTTTCACATTTATTGTAGAAGTTAAAATAATGTAGCAGCTCGTGTGTCAAAAAAAAAAAAAAGAAATGATGAAAAAAAGAAGGATCCCTGCCAGACATGATTATGTAACACATGCCAAAGCCAATTTCGCCTCATTCTTCATAACCACACTTTCTGCTCAGARTGATTTGCATTACTACCTGCGCAAACCATTTATGTTTGTTTTAGCTCGTGCAGTCAAATTAAAAACAAATACAAAAAAAAAGGAAAAAAAAAAAAGAAGCATGCATAGTGAGGCGCTCAGGCCGGACTCAGATTGCAATAACATGCTCCGTGCACGTTGTGTTGTGAGGAGGGAGTGACTCGCGCATGCGCATCAAAGGCTCTCCTGCTCTGCCAGCGCTAAGGGACCGCAAGAAAACAGAGCGGAATAAAAGCAGCGGCTGGAAAAAAAAAAAGTCATCAATCATCGTTTTTTGATGGAGGAACAGACTTTCAACAAGCTGCAGCCCTAATCCTGAGAACAATAGGAGAACCGCTCTGCTGCTGTCTTCTTTCTAAAGTGAGAATTTCAAATCTCCAAAAGTAGGTGAGTGAATCGGATGTTTTCAGTTTCATTTTATTTTTAGGAATCCACAGGTTTCCTCCTCGTGGCTTTTGTCCTCCTCCACAGTGCTTGTTGTGGCTGGATCCGGACTGAATGACAGGAGTTGTGGGCGAGGGAACTGTTGCATCACTCAGTCTGACTGTCTGTCGCTCATTCCTCCTACAGAAGAAGGAGATGATGAAATGTTTTCTTCCTGTTTAGATGAAATAGTTGGGAATTTGAAATAGGTGAATGAGCGGATGACAGAAAAAAAAAAGACGTGTAGCCTATGTTACAACTGTGTTGAGCGCCTCTGTGTTTTTAGCAGGGCTTTTCGGTTTGGATTTTGAYTCGTGGAAAAGCGAGGAGTTACCTGTCTGCCGAGGAGAGGCGCTGTCTGTGGTGCTGAACGTCAACCCAACCGGTTCTTAGRGCGAGGACAACCTGAGAAAAGTTACAGAGACTGACTGTCCACCTGCAGCTCCTCAAAGTGCTGAATATGGTCACTCTGTACAGAGTCCAACTTCAGACTTTGGTACTTCTCTTTTTTCTTGGTAAGTGTGGATCTTAAAGATGCTACAACCCTTTTTATTTTAACTGCTGCATTTCCTCAGTATTCATGAGCTTTGGAATTGATTTGTGAACTGAAAACTTGCAATTTAAAGCACTTTTAATCAGTCGTTTGCCGGTGTCTGAGTGTGTGATTGAGTGTGCATGTGTGTACTTAAATCTGTTACCTTTTCAGGACTGTTTCTGGTATATACACCTAACTTGTCAAGTCGAGTAATGGGGACCAAAGACAGATCATAATATGGTGGAACTCCATTTTTTAGTTGGGGGTTAGGTTTGGGTCTAGGTTGTGAATTACATATAGGTTAGGTTCAGGTTCAGTGTTCAGCTTTAGAAACAGCTGGAACAGTCCTAATAAGGATARYAATYCAAACATGTGTATATGTGTTTGTGTGTGTGCTCATTTGGCAAAATATTTCATGAATCAATGGACAGAAGTGAATTATTCGATGCACTCTCACAACTCATTATCTTTTGGACTCAAGCCTATTRAATATGGTTGCCACAGCTAACAGCAAAACATTTAAAACTCGAAGAATTTTACAGATACTGAGTTATAATTCAATTTGCTAGTAGCAGAAAGTTGGCCCCAACTGAGCACTAACTGTGCAAGATCASTTAAAACTTTGCCTTGAACTGTAAGACTAAATTGTGTCTGTTAGCAACATATCTTGTGAAACATTGGAGAGATTTTTAATCAAACTTGCAAAAAGCAATCTTCAGATGTATAACCGCAACTGATTAACATTTAGAGTCGACTCCTTTCAAGATGGCCACCGCAGTTAATGTAAAAAAAAAAAAAAAAACAAAAACAAAAAAACAATGGCTAAAATTCAATCAATTTTACTGTTTATGAGGCGAGGATTCAGTGTGGTTGTAGCTGAGAGTCATTCTTACCATATGTCCAGAGAATAAACACATTGCACACTAGRTTAGCTTAAACCTTTGACCTTAACTGTTGGTGTCAATTAATGAAACCTTCAGAAAACAATTATTGCATGTACTGTAGAAGTYAAATTACCATTTCAAGATGGCCACCCCGGCTTATCAACATAATCCAACCCCAAAATGACAAATATTGAGCTAAAATGTGATGTGAGAGTAGGTGAGAGTCTCCCTCAACACACACCCTTAAAACGAATGCATCTTGCATGAGATTGTGCATAACGTCATTTACTAAGCTCTTGGCATAAAATGCAGTGGCAATGTGTATTCCCTCATGGAAAGCTAGGCCTTGAATCATTATTTACTAAGTGCTTCCCTCTTTGAATCACCATTCTTTCCCTTGCTCTCCTCCCACGTGTTTGTGTATAAAAACGAGATAAAATCAATGTTGTCACTGTTTGCCCAGGGGGAGGCTCTGGTTATATAACTGCACTGGACTGAACACTGCTCTGTCACACATAGGCAGGAAAACAGCCTTTGCACTGTTTTTTCCACATTCTTGTTTTCTTTGCACTTTATTTTTATTACTCATTTACATTTAGTGTATTTCAATCAGTTCCTTCAATTGTGTGTAGTTTCAGTACAAATACTTCTTATTTATCCCAAAATGAAAGCTGCTATGAGCCATGTGTTGTGCTCTCTGGGCTGGATGAGCTTAAATTTACCACCAGTGTTGTGCTTTAAGTGTCTCCAGTGCTCACAGAGCTGTATGATTGAATTTGTGTCTGTGTTAATGCAAATTGAGTTCTGTGTCTGGCTCAGCGTTGAATTTCATGTAACCTCAGAGCACTTCTGGTCTCACAGAGAGACATTTGTTTTCTAATACAGGTAGTACTGGATAGTACAGTGSACACAGATATTCTTAATCAGTTTCGCAAAAATGAAACAAACATATAAGCTTTACAAGGAATTTAGAAATTTGAGCTTGTAACTATTTTTCCTCTGAAATTCTGCTCCACATGCAGCTCATTTTATTGCTCAGCGGATTTCCATACTAGTTGTAATGTCAGCAAAAAACATTTCACTAAATTTCACAAAATTCAATCTACAGAATGAAACTTGGATTCATTGAAAAAATGCATATCACCTGCTGAATAGCATGCCAAAAAATTTGACTAAGTCTTGCACAATCTGTGAGATGTTGTGACAATGACTCATACCTACTGTCACACCAAATATTAYCMTATTATCGTTAACTGACTGAGTTGTAGCCATTTTTTTGTTTTTGAATAGTGTGGCAGCCATCTTGAATTAGGTTGACTCCAATGTTAATCAGTTGCAGCTGTATGTTCAGTAATTACGCTGAGAGCTTCTTTACAACCTGTCCAATATTTCCTTTAATGGGTTGTTGTAATATCTTGTTTTTTTACTTTTATAATTTTAACTGAGTTTTTTTCTTTGAATTCACATGTGTTTACTGTACAATTGCAAACTTAAATCATTTGACAAATCTAAACTATATTTTTGTTCATGCAAAACACAGTAGGTCTTTTAAACATTTTATGCCTTGTTTGTTTTTTGGAGGGTAGGGAGACACTGRAGAACTAAATCTATGTGATATTTTTTGTTCCTTTAGTCCACCTGAGCAGGCCGGTGTGTGTCGATGTGTTGTCGGATACAGAAGCAGTGCTGGGGACAAGCAAGAAGCTGACATGCATCTCCTGCATGCTAAGAGAAGAGGTCAAAGCAAAGACTTATGTGAGTTGGTTCTATATGCGAGAAAAGAACACATCTAATAAAACACATGTAAGTTACCCCAGAAGTCAAGAAATTCAGTTTTTACTAGTTTGTTCTTGTACATTTAATATATTTAATATATGTGTTGTTGTTGTTGTGTTTTTTTTCTTTTCTTTTTTCAAGATATACCAGTATAATTATACATATCCAGTAGAGGTGGATGGACCCTTTCTGGGCCGTCTGGCCTGGAACGGCAGCCAAGACCTGCAGGATGTCTCCATTTCGATTCTGAATGTCACCTATTCTGACAGAGGCATCTACGAGTGTCACATTCATCGGGAGTTTGACTTCGGCTTCTTCAACCATAAAGTTTCAGTCACAAAGACCATCGAGCTGGAAGTGAAAGAAAAAGGTACAGTATGTAACTTCATATACATATATTTTTCAATGACATTTTAATTTTTTGTGACTTATGTTAAGAAAAATGCAGGGTTTCCATTTACATATAAAGCAAATAAACAGTACTGTAGTGTTCTGGGAATGACTCTAGTGTTGTTTGTTTTGGGAAAAATAAAAAAAAGCCTCACCATTATTACCCCTTCATTGGGTTTCTTATCTTTTTGTGTGTCTTTTACAGTTTTCTAACACAATCAAAATACATTTATTCACAACAGAAAAGTTAAGCATCAAGAAGGAATAGTTTACTGTGGACGTGAATTCTTTCATGTGCATACCAGGGATGAGTATATACATGGTTTGATTTTCAAGAAGCTGGCACTTCTAGAACAACCACCAGAGAGCATAAGTGGAGTGATTGTGTTATCAGGTAGTTGCTGAAMTGTCTGATAACCAGCCAAAACAGTCAACAAAGGTCACCAGACACTGAGGGTTATAGTGTGCGTTTGTGAGAGGCTGGCTGGTTGTTTTGTGCATACAACATGTCATGTTCCATAGTATTTTGGGTGCATGAATGTCACAGTGTCCCAAAGTTGGAGGGCACCCACACACAGTATAAATGTTCCACCAAGACAAAACACACCAGGGGAGGATATTGTGTTGCAAGTAGAACCAGAAACCTATGGCATCTTCACATTCCATCTAGAAACAAGTGTTGAGCCGGAACACCTCACAGAATCCTGGAACWTGTCTTGATAAATAGTATCGTCAGATTACAGGTTCATCATCCCATTTGTAGCAGATGTGCAGGAGATGGTTGTGTGTAAAGTGCAACCACCAACTGGGAGAAATAGAATGATGATGGGTTGTATTTTACCATGTTTAGCTATGAATCTCACATTACTGTAGATCAGGGATAGTCAATCCTGGTCCTCGAGGTCCGCAGCCCTGCATGTTTTACCTTTTTTTCCCTTCTCTAACACACCTGATTCCAAGTTCTGCAGGAGTCTGAAAATAATCCATTCATTCAAATCAGGTGTGTTGGAGCAGAGAAACAATAAAACATGCAGGGCTGTGGCCCTCGAGGACTAGAATTGACTATCTCTGCTGTAGATGATTGTGTTTACATATGGCGGTGCAAAAGGTAGAGGACCAGTCCTGCCAAAACTGCAGAGACACATCAATATTACTTGTGGGATCATGGTGTGGGGAGCCACAGGGTATGACTTCAGGTCACCTCTGGTAGTGACTCACGACAATACTATGTCAGTTTTGTCCTGCATATTTTACCCTTCCAGAGCTAGCACTCTCTTCTACTTTAAGAAGAAAACACCTGTTCATACAGTGTCTACGGTCTGCCAGTTTCATGTCTACATGTCAGCCTGGTCCCTCAGTCTTTACCCAATCAAAGTGTGAGATTAGTTTGTATATCAGCTGTGATTCAGTGCCAATCTGCTGGATCTTTCAGAACCAGATACAACACTGACTTTCTGCAGGAGAGGACACAAAGACTGTACGACTCTGTTATGCACTAAATGGCTGCTTGTGTTCAGGCCTGCAGAGGTCCACACCCTACTAATACAGAACCAGCAGTGTTTTCATACCATTACTTATTTAATTTTGTTTTGTAATCATTACAGTAGAGACACATAGACTTTCAACATGGGCATGTTTTTCTTTTCTTTTTCCACCAATATATATAGATGTAAAACATTATTATTTTTTGTCAGTGACTGTACTGTACAAAATAGCCCAGGGAACATTCTAAATTTTAGAAAGCAAAGAAAAACAAAACAGTGTGATGTGCTGACTTCTCTTTCTGTGCTCTGCTTCCCCTAAAACTGTTGTTAAAGAGTTTATTAGACCCTGACAAGTATTTCAGTCAGAATTCCGACTTGTGTTTGCTGAATGACGCATTGGTYTGAAAGCAGTCTGCCACTAATGACACCTCTTACCTCCCTCTCCTCTTTGTTGTGACCATGGGCTGATTTGAAAATAATTGTCTGTTTTGTTTTGTCTGTCTTTATTTTCCATGAAAGCTTTCTTCTGTTGTCAGTGAAGGGGGGTTAATTCAAACCAGCCACTTTGCTATCTGTTAAAGAGCGGTAATGTATTTTGCTTCCTGATTGCTTGTCTTGCTGCGTGTGTCATTTTTCACCTTGATCGAATATACAAATCCAACGTGTATATTTGGGACAATTCAATCTCGCTCATTCCTTTAATAATTACATTTTCTATGCTTGCACAAACACTTTTAAAGAGACAGTAGGATTGTTGTAGCAAATGTTTCTTTTTTTTATTTTGACCATTCAAATTGTATGTGATTATTCTTCTAAGTGCCTCTTTAAAAAATGCTGCATTTTTTTTTTGTGCACAATTATTAAAAGCCTTCTTCAAATCTCATACAACAGTGGTATCAAATTTCAAAAAACCTTTTAGGTACAGTGGTCGTTATCTGGCGACAGGATGCATGTATGCTTTCCCTTCTGAAAGATCATGTTACATCAGCTGCCTGCCTCTGTTAGCAAGGATAGCACAACCAAATCTGGAAAATAAAGAGCGTGCAGCTTTTTAATCAGCAGGTTTTCTGGAATTTGGTACACACGTACTGATAAACTGTTGCACTTTGGTAAAAAAAAATTAAGTGTACTTGGGTTATTAAGTTGACATTTTTCCACATGTGTATTGTTTATTATAATCCATCATCCTGTTCATATTAGCCAATAAAAATGTTCTTTCTAATGAGTTTCAGATGTAAATGATGGGTGACAAAGTCTACAGTCCTCTATAATCTTCCACCACAGCTAAATTAAGAAACAACAAACTTGTTTAAAAAAAACAACAACAAAAACTGGAAGAAAAATATGCTCTAAAGGATTCAGGATATTTTTGATTAGAACAAGGACTGGAGACTTTGATTTGGATCATTTATTTTATGAGCATGTTTTTTTTTTCTTTACATAAAAGATAAATTATGACCAGTAAACAAAACTGTTCTTATATTCTTAAAGGGCACACAATGTTTTTTTTTTATTTTAATTTTATTTAATTTTTTTAAAATACCCACTGGACTTAAATAATTGTAGGATTTAGGAAGCACAGTGACTTTATAAAAATAAAAAAGGTACCCTGTGGAGATGTGTTTCCAAGAGCAAATTCTAATAAATATTGGCAGTACTTGAACACGTAATTAAAGAGCTAGATGGGTGGACAGATGGTTAGATGGGTAGATACAGTAGATTATTATTTGAAATGGACTTAGTCTTATGGGACTGGTTAGTCACAGGTGGGACAAGATTTAAGTGAATTGCTGGAAGTTTATTAAAATAGCTCCAATCTAAAACTAAAAATAAAAGTCTTAGCAGTCAAAGTTTTTTTTTTCAGAAAGCTTTACAGAGGTCCATGATTATATGCACTAAAGATATATAAATCAGAGTTTTGTTGTTAATATCAACAACTTATGTTAAATGCAAAGTAGGAAATGGAACAAGCATAGTAAAATAGTTATTAGAGATTTTATTATTATTATTATTTTGCTTTGATAGTGGGTCAAAAAGGGAAGTTTTTTTTAATATATATTTTGTTTGTTTGTTTTTCGTACTTCCTGCTGTACTTGGGTCAAAATGATTCATTAGGTGTGTATGTTAATTTGACCCAAGGAAGCAGGAGGGTTAAGCTAATTTATTAATAGGCTTATCAGGGCTATTCAACTAGCAGCCTAAGGAACACATCCAGCTCAGCTCAACCCGCACTTAAGTTAATTTAAAATTGAAACGGATTTCAGTGAAAAAAAATCTGTAAGAAAACATTTAAATTTTTTGAAATTATATATATA